ATCACCCAAAGATCGCGTATATTGCCCCAACGCTCGATGCTCCGTTTATGTCGGGGCCCTGGCCGACTTACAACCTTCTGGTGTTCCCTTTCCTTGTCAATCGTGTGGAATTTTGATATGTTCCAAATGTAAACAAGTCTATCACAATGAAGAGGAATGTCCGCCTTCGCCCGAAGAAATAGCAGAGCATCAAGTTCGAGATTTGGCGCAAGTGAACTCATGGCAGACTTGTCCTGGGTGTAAACAAGTGGTGGAGAAGACACAAGGTTGTCATCATATGGTTTGTCGGTGTAAAGCAGAGTTTTGTTATGGATGCGGAGCAACGTGGACACCAGGAACTGTTTGCGTTTGTGGACAACAGCCTGCTGCCTAAGAGGCGGTGAGGGGGATTCTATCCGCATCATGTAGCCACGGATAATATCAAAGGTAGTGCAACCCAGTAACATATCGTCACTAGACAGAGCACTTCTAGCTCGGGTTTTATTTCAACGGTGTCTGATATATATTGATATATATTGATACAATTGCGCAGTGAGCCAGGTCGAGTACAGACCAGGTTTACACAGCGTCAACTCAGTAAATCGTCTAAGAATGATTCCATTTCTTCCATCTGAGTCTTGGGTTTGGGTTTGGTGTTCTCCTGTAACGGAAGAGGAGGCGCGTCCACATAAGATGCTTCTGGGTCTTATGTCTGAACCAAAAGGACGGTGCATGAAACTATGGCTCCCACCTTGCTTTTGTTCTCGGGCAGTCAGAGTAATCGGTTTGCGCCGCAAGTTTTCAGATTTTTCCCGGAATCGGTGTTTTAAATCTACAAGAAAAATAAGAAAAAGCAAGGATCGAGAAAGAAGGATCTGGCCTCTCGCTGCGTCGGCCGTCATTTTTTCATGCATTAGATCCTCAAGGCTCTCATCCCAGTCCATCTGCTGTACCTTGCCCTTACGGTTGTTGGTCATATCTACTGGCTTGGTTGAATAATGGGCGAGACTATGGTCCACGTCATCGTCATCAATATCATTCTGCACTGTTGAAGGACCCGGTTCGTCCGATATTCGCTGCTTTTCAAGAAAAGCCGACAAGTCAACTTCCGGTTCCACTATGGGTTCCCCTACACAATATAACGGTACCATTGGTGTCAGCAGGTAAGTAATAGCGAACGGACCACGTACCGTCAGAGTCCAACTCGGGCTCGGGCTCTGCATATCGATCTGCATTTGTTCCCAGCTGTCTTCGTGAATACTTCTGCTGTCTCTCTGCCATTTCCTCCTCATCCAACTCTTCATATTCCTCCCCTTCCAGCAGTAAACGTTTATGAAACTCGGCTGGTCGCCCGTATCCTCTTCCCCGTCCTCGAGCTCGAAGGTATTTTCCTAATCCACCTCGGGATTTGCCTCGCCCACGACCTCGACCCCTTGAGCTGTTATCAGCGGCTTGTTGTGTTTCTTCTGACATCCTAGAGATTCTTCCGGCTGACTTTGTGACCGCAGGAGAAATGTTGGAGGCAGTGGTAAGAGAGTTTCGGCGTGGGAAAGTCTAAGGTTCGCATCTATTTCTGCCGTACTGCTACAGACAAAGGTATATATGGCGAACGTGTCAAAGAGTAGAGCCTAATGCTCAACTGATGTCACTGAACAGGTATAAGGGAAAGGGAAAGTATTTGGGAATGTCCAGACTTGTTGACTTCGACGACCTGTGTCTCGAAGGCAAACACGTCAATTCAAGGAAAAGATAACGAGTGTCACCTGACTAGGGAAAGATTGAAGAAAGGAGCGCAAATCGTCCATTTGATAAATGAAAGAAGATTTTGAAAGATAACGGCGAAGAAAACATTTAATGCTTTCAATGTTGAGGAAGAAAGATATAGCTTAAATGATCAACAATAAAGGCACCAAGATAGGAAAGAAATAATCAGCATGCAGGTGGAGAAAGATCAAAAGGAGCAAGAAAGAAACCACGGGAATCGATAAAATCGCGCCAGCCAAGAGTTTTTGCCATGTTTTTGCTTTGGACTTTGGCAACGATTCTGGGAGTAGAAGAGCAACTGGTTTACGAAGTGTTGAAGTTTTGGGAGGATAGCTCGGAACCCATTTTGGAGCTGGTGACGAACGGATGGTGATTTCCAAGGGAGAAGAGATAGTCGATGACCGTTTACGGGCACCTATTGGTGTTGACGGTGCTGAGATAGAAGTGACTTCAGTTTTCAAGGGACTCGAGGACTTGGAAGCTTTGAAAGGGCGCGGCTCCGTCTGGCACCGCCTGTGCTTCCTGGTGGAAGCTGTAGAAGGAGTCGGGAAAGGTCGAGGTGTGAAAGCAAACGGAGGTAGTTGTCCCTTTGGAACATAAACAGGTTTACGAGATTCTTGGTACTCGGGGAGCGAAGCATATAGATCTTCATTTCTGCTTCGCCAGGGCATCTCATAAGATGAAGCTCGAGAAGCGGTACTACAAGTCGAATCAATCGACGCCGCCGTGTTTGAACTCGCAGTCGACGAAACGGTGTTTCGTCTCGATTTTTTGATTTGAGGTATTGCAAGAGTGGGAGCTCCGGTGCTATACTGGCCAGTATCGGACTGCTAATAACCAAGTGGGTTTCAATAAACGTGGATGATGGGATAAGTGGTGCAGTAAAACTCACGATATTAGGTAGCGCGGACATTGAAACACATTTTCGGCGACTCTTAGGAAAAGCTTGCAAAAAAGGTTGCGATATGGCCCTTGTTATAGTTTGTGATAGTGTGGAGGAACGTCGACGCAATTTGATACCGGCTTCTGTCTGTAAAGATAGAAAACGACGCCATTTCGGACTTTTGCGCAAGACAGAAAGGTGGCTACTGTCCGTGTCCGATATATCTTTGGGGACATCGGGCTCTTCCATAAACAAACGGCGTGTGGGCAATAGCCCCGCGAACTCTAGAAATCGTTCAATTTCCTGTAGAGACTCAGCGACAAAACTTCCTATTATCAATCTTTACACGCACCCGTTGGCTTTCATTAGGGCCGTACAATTCGGACTAGGGAAAGTCAGCACCAATAGCATTCTCGCTACATGATACAACTCACTTCGTCAGGAATCCCACCATTCTGGTAACACATAGCACGATTATAATCCCACAGTTTCCGTGCCTCGACATAGTTGTCAGCGAGTAGCTTGTGTAACGAATGCCGACTGCGACCATCATTTTTACTTGAAGATCCCTGAATAAGATTGTTCATGAGCAACATGGTTATGATTTGGGTAATGGATTCTATACCGTAGCCCTAGTGACCACAAGACCTTCAATCTCTGAAGCGGTGAGGTAGTTGGTTTTCATGTTGAGTGGGTAGATATATAATGCAGTTGAAGGAGGGTTCGAAAGTTTTCGGAAGAGCTGGGGTAGCGCAAAGGAAACTGGGCTTGGATCTCTAGTGGGGGTGTTGTGGTTTGGACCATCCTCTTAGAAATTCGTGGCATTTATAAATTGTTACCACGACGGAGAACAATACCATAGCCCAAAATGCCACATTTTCCCCGACCATTGTACTCCCATGTTTGCGCTTGGACATTCCAAACCGGACAGTTCGCCGGCTGACGGAAAAGGAAGAGAAGAAAGCAAGGAAAACGTGGGAATAAAACTCGCGTGGTAGTTGCGAGCCTCGAGGCGTGCACGCGTTGTGCGAAGGGCGCACAACCCCCACGCATTTGATTTCACAAATCCCATTCCTTTATGCCGAAGATAAGCTGGGGTTTGCTGAGGAATGTTCACTATGCTATAAGTATTTGGTTCATACCAGTAATTGTTATTGCTCGATCGGATAATCAGTTTCACCTCTTGTTAGGACACTGCAAACTTTTGATGCCCTCGTGGTGTAGATACTTGGAACCATACCCTTCAAGTTATTGGTTTGGTGTTTTGGGCCTCGTAACTGATGGTTCTGCATTCTTTACTTCAAATCACGCAAGGCGACAAACCGAGACAAGAATTACGGATCGCGTTACGAGAATTCAGATTTGAGGTACATAAAGAATAATACAAATTGATCAAATGAGGTGATTGGATCGGCGTAAGCCTAACATGGCGAAGATACAGACAGTTTATTTGTGTTCAGATTTCTATCGAGAATTTTCAGTACAAGAAGAATAAATATCGAGGAAGAACTTACAACCCTTGCAACCCTAGTGACGATTATTTTTGTTTCACCAGATGTTCATCCGTTCATGAATCAGGTCCTGTCCTAGCTGATCGCGCTCCTTCTCCAGCTCGAGCTCCTGACGAATAAACCTTTCCGAAGAGCAGCCGGGCAGAACGATCCCAGGATGGTTCATCCAAAGCTCTTTCAGAACATCAACGACCCAGTCCTGACAATCCCAATCTGTGCGATTGCGCCAGATTGGGACTTGTTCCAACCATGTTTCAAGTAGAGAGAGCTGATTCTCGAGGACATATCCAACCAAGACGCCACCTAGATATGTCGTGCGGTCGTGGTGAATACCGTCGATCTCGTGCGCGTCGAAGGAAAATGTATCGGTGTTTCCTTTTAATTGAAAGATTCGCGCATTGAACTGGTCACTTCGGATAGCTGCAAGATCCCAATGTTCCGTGCGGCGGCGGTGACCAGTAATCTCGTATTGAACGACGAGGAGGGGGAGTTTAGACATGGAAGATGAAGTCGAAGGTTCTCAGTGGAGAGGGGAGTGAGGAGTGAGGGTCTTTTATATCGAACCGTTCGTTGTTCGATCCTGCGCAATCTTTCTTTCAACCTCCAAATGCGGGAAGTTTGCTTTGTTCTGGCTGAGTGGCGGAACAAACAACGTTTGACAACACATCACTTTCATTGTTCGGAGCTAGGACCGTTGTACTCAGTGTGACTTGGATTGTTCTTGGGACTATGCCTAAAATCTTTCAATCAGCACCTCCCTGTCTTGAATGCTTCTGTGCTTAAGGAGCTCAAAAATTCAGGCTTTTAGCGCTGCCACCTCGAAACTCCTCACCCAATAGTGCGTGTTAGCCGAATCAACTTTAGGCCTGATGGTCTAGTAGTATGATTCTCCCTTCGGGTTTTGCCCCATCTGATTGGATGAAGACTGGGAGAGGTCCCGGGTTCAATTCCCGGTCAGGCCCGACTACTTTTTATACTGTTTTTGTTTTACTTGCGACGCATATAAAGCATTGGTTGGGAATCGTCACATCAAATTGAATCGAATCGGTACATAGTAAGCGTTGAGGTCAGCTTTTGCGAGTACAAGAGCTACAAAAAAGACAGACGTAAACGTGTACTAAGAAATAACGACTTGCGAAAGTCAATTAAAAGGAGCCAGGTCCGAAAGACTCGAGTATATTGACTTCGAAACCACGCCTATCCAACCCCTCTAGCCTAACCCATTCACCGATAGGCTGTTTATCAATAATCTGCTTGGTTATGTACAACCTCTCCAGCCTCGTGAAATCCCAGGAGTCTTTCCATTCGTTTGCTCGACCATAACGCCAAGGGTCCCATCTCGAGCAAACTACGTCGAAGACCGAGATTCCCCCCTCAGACTCGGATTCCGACATAAGTTCATCCCTCAGTTCCATCACACCGTCCATTACATGAGTCTGTGCAATTGTTAGCGCTTCGAGTTTCGGTAATAACACGACCTGTTTATCCTTCCCCGCTAGCAAACCGTGACAGAGTTCCTGCATGTCCAGCATACAATCTTGGATTCTCAAGTCCCCGACACCCGGTACGACCTTCAGGAATCGCAATAGCTCAGAGGAAGTCATGGACGTAATCGTACGGAAGGTCAAGTAATCGAGCTCGAATTGAGAACGTTGTTGGAGCTGGATAAGATGGAAGATGGGTGAATGTCGATTTTCCAGCATCTCAAGCTGTTCAAATAGGTCCCTCTCGTCAGTAGGTACGAATTCATGTATCACACCCAGCTTCTTGAGCCTTGGAAGCTTGAGACTATCAAAGAACTCTGGGGCACCTTCATCACACGAAAACTCGATACCGAGAGTATGGAGATGCGGGAGCTCGACGATCGTCCTAGATCCACTCCTTCGCCTGCGATCAGGATAATCAGGAAGCGAAAACGCGCAGAATTCGAGGTTATCGCAGGATCGGAGGATAGTGAGGTAATCATCTGGATCACCAGAGACGCCGTTCAATCTAAGGTATGTGATCTGGGAAAGAATTGGGATCACATCCTTGACGTATGCAGACAGCTCACCCCCACGTTTGGCAATGATAGGACTGATCTCGAGTCTGGTCAGACGTGGGGCGTGTTTGAGGAGCTGAAAGCTTCGCTCTTCGTAAGGGATGAAGAAGCCTCCAAAGCGGATACTCTCGAGGAGAGGGAATCGGAGGTCTTTGCGTCGAAGCAGAGGTTCATAGTAATGATGAAAGATCTCGAGCTCAATGACTTGCCAGCGCGTACACGCATCAGCAAGGGAGTCGAAATAGGTATCGGGAACAGTCTCTTGTTTCGCTCCGACAAACTCCATCTTGAAAGTGAGTGGGAGACTGCCACTGCGGCGTATCCAGTCACCGAAAACTTTGCGGTCTGGGAAACGTTTATAAACCTTGAGTTCAAGACTGGTCCAGAGAGATGATGTGCCATGCACCACTCTTCGCCAAGAAGAGCAAACTTGTGAGAGAATAAGAACGAACGGGCGTACGAAGTACAAGAGATTCTTCGATGGGCGGTGCATGAATGAGAACGGGCATTCCTCCTGAGCAAGAAAGGACATAGGGTCCTTGAGATACTCTTTAAATATATCCGCTAGCAATCCTGGGGGAAGGCGCTGGATAGGAACAAGACGAGGTGCAGCGGTTTCATGGTTACGAGCACGGCTCTGCGGAGTTTTCGGGGGCTTGACTTTCTCGGAAGAAAGCAAAGACGCTAGGTTTGGGTCGTTTTTGAACATTTTCAACAACTTGGCGGCGAAGTTGGGCGAATAGAGGAAAGAATCGTCGAGTCTCAGACGAGACATGGAATCGGCAAGATCTTCCGACATGGGCGACATGGTTCTACAAAAAAGTGGATAAGTATAAGGAAATGCACTGAGTAAAATGATACTTTTACCAAAGTAAAAGAGGGCGGCAAAGACGATGAGAGTGGGTGGAGAAGTGGGTGGTTGAAAAAAAGAAGCGGGTTTTTGGAGGTTCTCTGGTGGTTCTCGCGCCACTACGTTCGGCCTAGGGTCCAATCGCCGAAGCCTAGCTTCGCAAGGCCCTCAAAGTCAATCGGGTAAATTACCACTGGCCAACTCTGGATGGTATTGTCCCATAATACTACATTGATATAAAACTACAAATTTGGTTTCTTCAAAACACCGTACTTGTCTGTTCCAAGAAAACTAGGAAGCTTGATCGAAGTTGCAATCCTCTTTCAAAACGTTCTACGACTCTTCAAACACCCAAACACCATCAATTCTTGAAGCCCCCAGCCAACCACATGTTCTCCCCGTACCACCCACTTACGGCATTAGGCTCTGGTTTTAAGGACATCGAGCCCCACGGGTTCCGACAAGGTCCGAGCTGGTCTTTAAGAAACAGACTCGCCCCAGCTTCGCGAAGCATCTGAGATTCTGTCAGAGCTTCCGACTCATTGAAAGACTGTCAAAAAGATCAGAACAGTACCCGAGCAAGTCTATGAACTCACAGTAAAAACGCTAGGAATCTTCTTCTCTACAAGCAGTTTCATCGTCTCCTTCCAAGAATCACCAGGCCCTACTCCGTCCTCTCCTCTCTCAGAAGCTCCAGAATTGAACGCGACTGCCAGGTCGGGCGTGTTGAATCTCGCAGACTGACGAGAAACATAGTCGTGGTAGAGCCTTTTTAACACGTTTAGCTGTACTATCGGGAGAAACGAGAGGCTAGACATACATTGTATGATGGTGATGTGTCCGCTTTCTTCCTTTCCTTCTGCAATCACTTCAGGTGAAATTAATACGTGTGAGCCGTAAGGAGTCGGGACGACGACCTACGTACGGACAAGTATCCATGTCAACAGGCCTCGAATCTTGAACGTTGAGCTCCGGGCCAACAAGAATAAGCTGTTGACAGTGATTGATCGTATCAAGGTCAGATTGAAGCAGCGCCAAAAAGATGTCCGAACAAACCTTCAGGGTTTTGAGCTCGGGAAGACGGTGGAGAATCTCTTCAAACAACTGTGCATTCATTAATTCAGTTGAGATCGAGGCGCCAAGTATCTGTCATGCAAGGTCGGCGAAAATTCTGGGTCACAAAGTAGTCGCAAACTCACATGAATAATCAACGTATCCTTCTTTGTCCAACTTTCATCCTCGCCATTCAATTTCTGAAGTGCATATAGAATGGTCATAGGCATCGATAGACCGATTGATGCGGCTCGCAAGAATGGTATGATGACCGGAATTCGGACACCGTGCATAGCTTGCTCTAAGTCGCTACCAAATTCCTTCTCCCAACACGTCTTCCCGTCTCCTCCTTGCTCGAGCGGCATCCACTTTGCCTTTGCCCGTTCCGGCGCCCACTTGAAAGGTCCCGTTTCAGGAACCGAGTACTGAAAGCGGATGTCCATGCGAAACTGTTGATTCATTTCACACTGACTAAAGCCATCGTCTTCCGCGGAAGGTTGAGTATGATGGCCTTTGACAGCATTCCAGTGTTCTTCCGAACAATAGAAAGCAAGGCGGCAGTCGGGACAGGACTTCAGGGTAGAGTGGTATGGGGAATCTTCGAGGCGTATGATGCGGTCCGTCCGCCCACTGTAAGAAAATCGATTTTGACAAACAGGAACACAGGATGTTTAGAAGATCGAATGCTTACCAGCCTTTGCATTTCGGCTGCCATCCCAGCAGATTCCGTTCCTTTGTATCTAGATTCCTGTTCAAAGCCACCTGAATTATATTCATTTCAATTTCCGAGTTTTCATAGCACAGTCTGTCTGTCGACGACAAGTCCGTAGATGGGACGTGACTCAAGGTGAAAAGAGTAGAAGCACGATAAAGAGGGTTGTCGGAGAGCGCGGCAATGGCTTTGCAGAGTGTCTTGTGTTTACTCCAATCAGTCTGTATAGAAAAGCGTGAGTGAAAATTGTCATGAAAACTGGGTGAATGTAATGATGATGTAGCAGTGTTGATGGACGTATGGGTTCGACAGTAGACATTCCGAGAGAAAACGCGAGGATTCACCGACCTTTTGACAAGCTTATACATATCAGTAAAGAGCGCTATAAACATCCGAATAGTAACATACCTGCACCGCAATAAGCAACACTCTGACATCTGGAACATTTCGATAGAGGACATTGCGTGTCGTCCTTGAAGCACACAGGACAAGACTGGAGTATCGCCACGGTTAATGGAGGCATCCTTGCTTCAGGGAACTGCTGATTTTGCATGATTTCAGGCTTCTACTGGAGGGAGATTGATGTGTGCGAACGATGTGTGGATGTTCGATTACTCAACCGCGCTTTGGGAAATAAAACCCACGCCACGATCACATCCCCATCAGGCACAGCTTCTTTGGTACTTATCTGACTACTTTCTGCTCAGCCATTATGATTCAAGACTGGATTGGATCTCCCGGATTTCTGGAAGCTCTCAGGACTCATCTGCCCGTTAAGACAGTCTCCTTTGTCGCCCAACCAAACGACCCTGAATTGTGTCATACGCTGATCCGACTTCCATATATCTCACAGTGGAAAGTTAATCACGACCAAGGGTCTGTGCAAGCGTCTACGACGATTGAACTGCTGAGTTTTATCTCAATGCTTCCTCTAATCGTAAACTTTCGAGTTTCGAGGATAGATGTACTAACCGTGACGAAGTCACTTCGCAAAAGCAACTAAAATCAACAATTAATCCTCCGAGTTGTCTGATAAGGAACATAGATCTGTTCAAATTGCAGGTCCCTCGGTTTGCCAGCATTACAATTCAATCAGTTCTTGAGATGTTTTCTCCGTACCATCCACTCATTGCGTTGGGCTCTGGTTTCAAGGACATTGAACCCCATGGGTTCCGACAAGGTCCTAACTGGTCTTTGGGAAACAAATTCGCCCCGGCATCGCGAAGCATCTGATATTCTGCCAGAACTTCTGATTTATTGAAAGACTATTCCAAAGACCAGAACAGTACTCAAACAAGTCAGCGAA